AAAAAAAAAAAAAAAAAAAAAAGGAGCAATAATCATCTCGGGTTCATAGACTGCAGCAATGATTTTCCATCTTGCTTCCTCCAGCAGAGGTCATCTACTTACCCCACACCAACATTCCTGACGGTAACCTGCATCATGTGACTGCTCCTCCTCTCCCCACCTCTGGCCCCACTCTATCAAAGACCCCTAAGGAAGCCAACCTGCAACCAGCAGTATTACAGGATGGGAAGCAGCAGCAGCATATGGCTATAGGGGGAAAGAGTTGACAAAACACTAAAAGAAGGTTTGCTGCACAGTGCTGTGCTCCTGCTCAGACACCAGGTGACATTGCTCAGCTCTGTGCTTCAATCAAGCTCCAGCTGCCCAGCTTCTTTCCAAGAGGGAGCTTCACAAAACAGCTTAGGCTTGACAGTTTTTACAGAGGGCTTAAATTAATTAATGGAGTTTACAGACAGAAATTTTTAGCCTGAATTTTTCCTGGCTCTAAATTTATGGACAGATGGCAACCATGCTTACACTACTAGAGGGCTAAGAAATCTAGTCCCTTTTCAGGGAGATGTATAGAAGCAGTTACTGTGTTGTTACTGTGCTTGAAAGACATGCCCCATGTAGAAACTTGCATTCAGTTTATGGCTTACGTTAAACTACCCAGTCAAACTCTGATGCAGTGAATTTCATTGTACTGGAAAAAGTGGTTGCTTATTTACATTTTAGTAGAAATGAATAAGTATATTTTCCAGAGTGAATACTATTCCTAGTATTATTCAGGCCTCAGGACCTAAATGGTAGGGAGAATATATTTTGAAGTAGTTGTTCACCTACAAGGCTATCATATTTTGAGCAGTGCAGGCAAATCCATTGTGTGCACAGAGAATGCATGGTTTGATGCACAGTTTGGGTTGACATTTGCCTCCCATTCCCAAACATTAGACACCTTTTTAATTTATTACATTTGAAAGAAAAGACTCCAACCCAATTTACAAGTCACATTCTTACGAGTGAAACGATCCACACAATTTGCCATGCAAAGTTTCCATTCACTTCAGCAGAAATCCAGCTACTTTGAGAACATTAAAGCCTTCATCACAGACCACTACCTTTAAAGCTGAACATGGAAACATTTGAAAAGAGAAAGGATCCAGAATTAAAGACAGCGAGACTGCCCATCATTAGTGCTTTGAATCTGTACACATGCCCTCTTCCTCACAGTCACCCATTAACTGCAACACGTAAGTTCCCATGAAGAGGAGGAATTGCCCAGTTACTTGTGCCAGGTGGGACAGAAGACGAAGCACTTTCCTACAAGAAGAAAAAAAGTGTCAATAGCAGGCTATGGTGAAAGAGACAAGAGGAACTGTCCCTCCCTCCCCGTTTTCTTGTTTCAGACCAAAGAGCTTTTGATATGAACTCAGAAGATTCATTAACAACTTTCTTGTTTCACCCACTTCCAGCTGTTTGGGAACACACAACTACACTAGCCAATAGCCTCACTCTCCTGCCAGTGCAGTTCCTACTAGTTATAACAGAGCAGTGGCTATATTGCACAGTTGGTCCCAGGAAGAGAATGCACCGAGCAAGTAAAGCTGTCACCCACTTAAACCATTCCCAACACCGCTGTGACTTGAAGCGACTAGGAAATCAGTTGGATCCCCCCAGCATTACTTCACTTCCAATTTTATGAGCAACACATTCCTTTAGGCATGTGCTGACAAAGTCAGGGAAGACTCTGGCTAAGCAAGCACACAGTATTGCTTTATTAGAGGGGACTTTTAGGGCAAGCTGGCAAGAATACTGGTGGACCTGGGAAAATTAAAGTTTTGTCCTCACACTGAAATAAATATATATCTGTACTCTGGAATGTAAGTGCTGAGAAGTAACAGCTTAAAACATGCAAGGTTAGACAAGGTATTGGGTCATTATGCCTCTAGAAATAAGACAATGAGAGCTGTACCTTTATAAAGAAGGAGCAAGAACCACAGACTATAAGAGTATCAAGCATGCAGATTTAAGTCTAATTGTTCATTAGGCACACTTTGTTCCAGTCTCCAGATGTTAAAAAAAAATACAACATTAAGACCAGGTACTACACCAACAAATTAGGTTTTCACTATTAAGCCTCTCTCTTTAACCCCACTTCCTTTCCTGCCCAAACAAGAGTTCTAGATTTGAGTACCAAGCTAAATATACTAAGGAAATGGGCAAAAGGGAGTTGCAAATGCAGATTACAGTAGGAATCAGTATATAAAGAGCTCTCCTTCCCTCCAAGGGAAAGCCTGGCTTTGTCTGTCTAGATTCTTCTTGGTCTTTGGGCAGGAATAGGAAGTGTTACTCTAACATAGCCCACCTTGCCAGAGATTTTTGTTTAGTGTGGAGGACAGGTTCTCTTCCCCATGTGACAATTCCATAATTCTTTTACCAGCAAAAAAAAGGTTTACTTTGTAATCAGCATCCAACTTACTCAACAGAAATAAAGCAAAGCACTATTACTACTTCATTTCCAAGAGCTCTTCAAAGCAATCATTCCTTGTCCCTAATATTGTACACACCCATCTGACCTGAGTTCAGGATGTTCTCCTCACAATTAGACTATGAAGAATTCATTTGGTGGGGCTGGCCTAACAACTTTGTAGGACCAGGTGCAGCCTTCCATACAACTGAGTTTGAGAACAGCTGCAACATGCGTGACAACTGGCCCTGGGTGTGAAGGAAGTTATTTGTTGTTCTGTTGGATATTTGATCTTGGTCAAGACAGCAAGAAACTGTCAGAGGAAATTCACCAAGTTTAGCATGCAGAGAGCCCCTGCCATGCCACTGAAATAACAACTGCAGTGTTTTTAAAGACTTTTTCTTCATATTCTGTAGGAGGATGTGGAGGAGAAATCTTAGAAGTAAGTTTTAGAATATCAGTATGGTCCATTGGCCAATATTTATGAGTTGTCAAGCTCGTTGCAAGTCAGCAAGGTTGTCTCAGGTGTCCAATTTAAGTACATTTAGGCTGCTATATCTTTGTATGGAAGGGAAGTTGTTTTGCATGCACTGGCTTTGCTTCTGAAGGCAGTCTTTATAGCAGTGGCGACACATAGGGGTGTGCACCCCGAGTGCTCGTGCACCCCCTGATTGGCCGTGCTCCCCGCTTAGGCGATGGGTAGGTGGGAGTGCCGGTGCTCCCCCTGTGAGCACCGGCTGGGGAGTGGGAGCGTCAGATGTAGCGCCGCTTGGCCACTTCCCAGTCAATGAGTTTTGCCACAGGGGGACCCCACCCTTGCCCCGGGTCGGCAAGATCAGCCACAGGGAGATTCCCCCTGGTCACTGTGGGGGGCATGTGTCCTCCCCCGACTAAGGTGGCACCAGTCGCCCATGAACTTTATAGTCTCCAACAAAACTCCAGTTATGTCAGCTGCTTTCCTTCTGCCTTCTGAACTTCCTGTGTCAGGTTTCTCTCACCAGCTGTAGTGCTGGCAAGAGGATAAGGGAACTGTCACTTACACAGTGGACCTTGCACTGGCTAGGAGAATTTGATTTTAATTCCCAATTATGGGGTTGAATGCCATGATTTTGCTCTGGTATGAGAAATTTTACAGATATTAAGAAACTAAGAGGTGTTCATTTTAAAAGAGTCTGCCAAGCCAAGTTGTGCACTCAGTGAAGTGCTGTGCATAGGTATGAAGTAGCACAGGACCACATCATCCCATTGTAATCATTCATTTTTCCAAGATGGTCAATTTACAACTGCCAGTTTACAACCTTAATTTTAGCTTGGTGCCCTGCTTAATTGGAGGGCAGCACTAAGACTAGAAACAGGCACAACAAATAATGTTTACACTTAAGACTTATAATGCTTGGATCCATCCATGCCAGAAAGCCACTTTTGAAGTTCTCATTTAAACATGGATAAAATCTTCATGTTTGTCTAGCTACAAAGCTGGAATTAACAGGTTTTCTATATTCTGCCTACCCAGCCAGCAGTAGAGCAATTAGGGGAAGCAACTGAGATATCCTGAGCTCCAATCCACCAAAGAAAGAAAGAAAAAAAACCCTGAGGTAGGCAAGAATATATTTTCTTTCCATTTGACAGGAGAATCTGGGAACACTTGTGATCCAACTAGAACCCAAGTTTAGAGTTATAAACACAATGTAGCAAGATTATATTTTGATTTCAAAATCAAGGACTTTGGTATTCCAGCTTTCTTCCCCCAGAATATCGGTCTCATTGACAGCATTACATGGAATATACTTATATTGCTATAAAAACTTAAGTATACACCTCATTTTAGAAGTAGTTTCTATACAGCAACTTTTCTCATGGAAGTGTTATATCTTGCATTCTTGGGGGTTCTGCCACAGAATCGTAGGTACATTAATGGGATATTGTAGTTACTATTTTAAGTAACATGCATTATGGGCCTTTGTCAACTTGTCCACGTTAATGCTGACATGACTTGCAAGTTTGTATTCTTTGCTTTATCATTCTTGATGAGCTCATGCTCCCTTGACCACTGTATATCTATTTTAGTTCCCCCACCACCCTGCAATTAGAAATTCAAACTTACTGCAGCACATTTTTTGCTCCCATACACTTGATATCATATGACACAGAGTAGATTTCATAGAAAGTAGCTCTAATATTTAAGCAACCAATGAAGTCTTTCGGATTCAGCTTGTACAAATCAAATGTGATGTTGGCCACGCCCATTTTCTTTGGTTGCTGTACAGCGAGGCAATTTGCTCCCTATTAAAAAAAAGGAGAAGGATTTAATTTTTACTCAATATTGAATATTTTCTGATAATGTTGCCTATGTATCAAGAGGTTTTAACATGCAGCTCAAACCTCTTGATTTTGGATTCAGACCCAAAGATTACAAAGTCTTCTTTGTCTCACCTATTTTTGCAAGGTATTGCTACCTTGGATGAAAGGAAGTACAGAAGACTGTGACTTTATGGCTTTTAAAAAGTTACTCAAGGTCTGGCCAGGCCTTTAGGCCTCTCAAGTACATCTAATTCATTAATTTAATTATCAGGGGTGTACTTGGTAACTGTGTTGCTCTGAGACAAGAAGACATACAAAAAACTAGAACTCTTGGTTCCAAAATGATACCTTTTATTAGACCACCTGGAAAATGGCAAGAAAGCTTGCAGAAAAGGACAATTTTCTTGCCATTTTCCAGTTGGTCAAATAAAAGGTATCATTTTGGAACCAAGAGTTCTAGTTTTTTGTATGTCTGTTTTTGACATTACAAAGCATCAGTTTGCATAATAATTTACTTTCCTTTAGTTCAGTTTCTGTCTGGAGAGGAGCCAGGACTTCCTGCACTATCAGACTTGGAATCCAGTATGGATACAACACGAACAGTGAATTCAAGTTGTTTAGCAAAACGAGTCATATTGACACAGTGCTCCACTAATCTCCAAGAAAAAGAGTACTTTAAAATCATTTGCTATAGCTAGTTTCCAATAAAGAAACACAACACTCATTAGTAACTTAGATGCTCAACATTTTTATTTTATACTAGTTTCTTTTGTGGCTGAGCTTTGGAATAGTATCTCTTGAATTGCTGACATAGTTCAAGTTATACCACACAGATTGGTGCAGAGCACTAAGCAAAGAAAAACAAGAGTGGCATGGAAAACAAAGGTAATTTCAACATCATTTTGGGTTGGTCTGCTCAACATCAAGAAAAGTTGCTCTTGGTATCCTCATTTTAAAAGGAGGAAAGAAAACCTCTTTAACTAGTTGCCTGTATCAGTTCCACACTGTAGGGAGACATCTAGTGGATATACTGTATCTTAACTGTTTTACTATAGATAGGGGCATAATGGCACAGCTGTTCAATTATCTCACTCCAGTTCTAGAGGCATGAGTTGAGGTTCAGTTTAGACTTGTGATGAAGTCCATCCCTACTCAACCCAAATTTAGATAGGGACCTGGTCATTTTGCTGCAGTCAGAGTCAAGGGCTGCGTGTGCCATAGTAAACCACATTTCATTTATGTGCTTTTGGTGATGCATACATCTTAGCCATGCTGCTTCAAAGGGCTGCTATGCTGACATGCTTAACCTTTAATTTATTTTTTTTATTATCTAGTTAATTTACCACAATCTGAAGCACATCATCCAGTCACCTCAATGCACAGGAAATGCCAAGATAACCAAGCCAATTACAGTTAAATATAGATTTAGTGGGGACAGTTCTCATTCTATTGAGAGATCAATATCTGCTCCTGGGGAGCTGTGATAATTACCTCAGCAGGCTTGAATTAATATGTAGTCTACTTGGGTGGGGAAGTCATACCATTTCACAATTAGGTGACTACTTAAGGTCTGTCACTCATGTTGATGTACTGGGAAAGAGCAGTAGAACTCTGTAACTATGCCAAGTACTGGCTAACTGAGGTTTATTTTTCCAGTGCCAGCTATTTTACTGAAGGATAGTTGGAAATTTGATCTAGTTTCTTATTTGCACTTATAGATCTTAATTGTTCGCTTACAAGCTGCTGGTTGGTACCAGTTCTTTAATGATGGCCCCAAGCCATGAAAGGCATCTTGGAGCATCTTTTGTTTTAGTAGAAGACTGGACAGGGGAAAATTCCTTTTTTGAGAGAGAGATTAAAGTACTGGCAGCAACAGGATTTCATCCCTACATACATGAACTCTGATAGGAGCACTATAATTCCAGTCCATGGAGCTTTGTTGGAGGTGCTGCCTATTTTACTCCTCCAGAAGGATTTCACAGAAACCTTTGCAAGCAGATTAACATCATGCTTTCAGAGGAAATTGTTTTCCTCTTCCAACCTTTTACTGCCTCCAAACTACCATCCTCCACAATTCTCCTTTCACCACCACTACATAAGAGGTACTGCTACTTACTAGTGTCCACTTCTGTCCTTCTTCTAGAATCATGAAGTGTGTATTATCCCCAAGAGACTGAAAAAACTCTTCTGTATCTACAGCCGTACCATCTTCCTCTAAAACCAAAGTAACTATTCCAGCTGTAATAAGGAAGGCATCCAGGGTCTATAATAAATAGAGGAGTGAAACACAATTCAGGGTGCCAACTCTTAAGTTCCTTCTGAAACATATTTAGGTGTAAAGCCATTTGCCAGATAATCCAGAACAACTTCATCACTGATGGATCTGGATCTGCTTTCAGCAGACACACTGGGATACCTATTTCCAGAATATATTTCAAGGAGTTGTATTGCTTCACTTAATGCCTTACTGTCTTCTACTCTAGAAGATGCTTTCCTCATCTAGTCGAGTAACTAAAAGCTGTGTGCAGCTGGAGAATATGAGACTTATTCAAGCAAGCCTTGATATTAAGTCTCTAGGTTAGGGTCAGAGGGGAGAGCAACAAGGGTGATGTCATGGTTGGTGTCATGGTGCTATAGACCAGTGGTCTCCAAACTTTTTTGATCGCGCACCCCTATCAGTAAAAAATTTTTGAGCAAGCACCCCCAATATGTATATTTATATAAATATATGTATATTTATATAAATAGAAATATAAGTTCTAATATTTTCTTCCTGCACCCCAATGGATCGTCTTGCGCACCCCACTTTGGAGACCACTGCTATAGACCACCAGACCAGGAGGATGAGGCTTTCTTCAAACAGCTAGTGGATGTTTCCCTGATCAGAGGCCCTGGTTCTCATGGGGGACTTCCAATCACCCTGACATCTGCTGGGAAGGCAATACAGCAGTACGCAGGTAGTCCAAGAAAATTTGGAGAGTGTTGGGGACAACCTTCCTGGTGCAGCTTCCTGGTGTTGGAGAGATTCTGACTCACTCAGGGAACTCTTGGGTATGATCTCCTGGGAGGCCAGCCTGAAGGGAAAAGGAGTCCAGGAGAGCTGGTTGTATTTTAAAGAAACCTTACTCAAGGCACAGGAACGAACCATCCTGATGCACAGGAAGACTAGCAAGTATGGCAAAAAACCAGCCTGGCTTAGCAGGGAACTCTTCAGTAAGCTTAAACACAAAAAGGAAGCTTTCAAGAAATGGAAACTAAGGCAAACAACTTAGGAGGAGTATAGGAATATTGCTCAGGCATTCAGGGATGAAATCAGGAAAGCCAAAGCACAACTGGATTTGCAGCTAGCAATGCACGTGAGAATAACAAGAAGGGTTTGTACAAGTATTTCAGCAACAAGAGGAAGATATGGGAAAGTGTGTCCTTTACTGAATGTGGGAGGCAATCTAGTGGCAGATGAAGCGGAAAAGGCTAAAGTACGCAATGCCTTTTTTACCTCAGTCTTCACAGGCAACATCAGCTCCCAGATTGCACCTGGCAGTACAGTATGGGGAGAAGGGAAGCAGCCAACAGTGGCAAAAAAACAGGTTACGGACTATTTAGAAAAGCTGGACTTGGGCAAGTCCATGGGGCTGAATGCGATGCACCCCAGGGGGCTGAGGGAGTTGGCAGACATGACTGCAGAGCCATTATCTGTCCGTTATCTTTGAAAACTTGTGGCAATTGGGAGAGGTCCTGGATGATTGGAAAAGGGCAAGCATAGTTCCCATCTTTAAGAAAGGGAATAAGGAGGATCCTGGGAACTACAGACCTGAAAGCCTCACATTGATCCCTGGAACAATCATGGAGCAAGTTCTCAAGGAATTCATTTCTAAACACTTGAAGGAGAAGGTGATTAGGAACAGTCAGCATGGATTCACCAAGGGCAAGTCATGCCTGACCAATCTGATTCCCTTCTATGATGAGATGACTGGCTATGTGGATACAGAAAGAACAGTGGATGAGACATACCTTGACTTTAGCAAAGCTTTTGATACGGTCTCCCATAACATTTTTGCAAGCAAGCTAAAGACGTATGGGTTGGATGAATGATGAATAAACTATAAAGTGTATCGAAAACTGACTGGATTGTCAGGCTCAAAGGGTAGTATCAATGGCTTGATGTCTCACTGACAGCCGGTATATCAAGTGGAGTGCCCCACGGGCCTGGTCCTGGGGCTGGTTTTGTTCAATATCTTCATCAATGACCTGCAAAGTAGGATGGCGTGCCCCCACAGTAAGTTTGCAGATGACACCAAGCTGGAGGGACTAGCAGATATACTGGAGGGTAGGGCTAGGATTCAGAGTGACCTAGACAAATTGGAGGATTGGACCAAAAGAAGTCTCATGAGGTTCAATAAGGACAAGTGCAAAGTCCTGCACTTAGGATGGAACAATCCCATGCACCAGTACAGACTGGGGGCTGACTAGCTAAGCAGCAGCCCTGCAGAAAAGGACCTGGGGGTTACATTAGACAATAAACTGAGTATGAGTCAACAGTGTGCCCTTGTTGTGAAGAAGGCTAATAGCATACTGGGCTACTTAAGTAGGAACACTGCCAGAAGGTTAAGGGAAGTGAGTCTTTCCCTGTATTCAGCACTAGTGAGGCTACATTTGGAGTACTGTGTCCAGTTTTGGGCCTGCCACTACAGAAAGGAAATAGACAAATTGGGGAAATTGGCGCAGTGAAAACAGTTAGGGTACATTACTTATGAGGAGAGGCTGAAGAAGCTGGGCTTATTTAGTCTGAAGAAGATAAAACAGAGGGGATTTAATAGCAACCTTCAACTACCTACAGGGTTGTTCCGAAGAGGGTGGAGCTAGACTGTTCTCAGCAGTGGCAGATGACACAACAAGGAGCAACGGTCTCAAGTTGCAGCAAGGGAAGCTTAGGTTAGATGTCAGAAAAGACTCTCTCACTAGGAGAGTAGTAAAGCACTGGAACAGGTTACCCAGAGAATTTGTAGACTCTTATCCTTGGAGGTTTTTAAGACTGAGGTAGACAAAGCCTTGGCTGGGATGACCTAGTTGGGGATGGTCCTGCTTTGACTGGGAGGTTGGACTAGATGACCTCCTGAGGTCCCTTCCAACCCTAATTTTCTGTGATTCTATGATATTGCATATAAAATTTGGGTTGATTTTTGAGAAATGAAACTTCTGGGAATTAAGGACTACACAGTATTTTAGAAAGAGATGCCTCATTGTAGATCACTTTAAAATAGTTCTTCTCCCCTCTCCATTATCTATGGAAGGAGGTTTCTATGCTTATCAGTGGAATTCTAGATTTCACTGAATTCAGTCACATTTTAAGTATGAAGAGGTCAGAATTATCCAGCCCATCTTAGCTATTATTATACCCATCAGAAGTTAAAATAGAAATTTAACCTTCAATTAAGCTTCCTCTTCTCCTTTAACTCTGGAGAGAAAAAATATAATTTTAAGCTATTTTAGGGAGCCATGAATTTTAAAAATTAAGGCTCCTTTAGCAAATACCATAATGGTCTCTTTGTGTCTTAGAAGCCAGTTTTTGTGATTTGTGTCTAATTTTCAACCATTTGACTTTACCTCAGCCAAAGCAAGGTTTGCACTAAACTAGAGAAGACTCAAAAGTCCAGATAGTCTTACTGATGGTGGTAAATCAAAGCCAAAAAGTGGACCACAGTAGCATAACTACTTTAAGGTAAGTGGAGCACCAGTCCTAGACACCAATTTGGAGGGACACCAGCAGCATCCCACAGCACATGGCACCACTACCCCCCTCTCCACTCCATTCCCTGTCCCTTGACAGCATCTCTGAGTGACAAAATTGTTAGTTATGCTTCTGGTGCAACATTGGATATACCTTGCTAATGAGATCCTGCAGACTGCTTGCAACAACTCCTTTCCGACTGCTTCGGTCATGATTTGATATACGAAAAGGTCGTCCTGCAGATGCAAGAGGAGGGAACAGAGTCTGTCTTGTTACTGACCCAACAGAAACTCCCATGGATACCAGAGATCTAAAAATAAAAGAAGAGCCTTATCTGAATTGAGAAAATTGATGTCAGTCATTGGGAAGGATATGATAGGTTGACTACTGAATAAGCATGCTGCTCATCCAGTTCACAGGGCATTTGTACAGCACTCTGGTTCCAATCTCATAACAAAACCGCCTGGACCAGCAGAGTTCATTTAAAAAATAGTGTTAACTTTAACAGGGTTAGTCAATTTGATGATGAAGTTAGTTCCTGCTGAGGAACCTATTTACTTCACGTAAAAAGATTAGCTTAATGATTCCTGGGTTTAACAAAACAGTTTAAAGCCATGAATTAGCACTGTATACAATCTGTGTACTGGGCCCCGCATGAGTTCTCACCAGCTGAGAAGAAAATACTTTTAAAGTCTTCTGTCATATGCCAGAAACTATATCATAGGAGAGGAAATGGTAGAACTGGAAATAAATTAGCAAAATCAACTTCAGCACAAAGATCACATGAAAGGAGGTTGCAAGAGAGGGAGCAGTAAAATCACTGCATGGTTCTACAATGACTTCTGAACCCTAGCCTTTTTACATCATTTTACCAGGCAGTTGTACACATGGGGCTAGCCAGACTTGTCTAATGCATCCAATGACTCAACACCACCACGTGCTGTGAGCAATTTCACAATATTAGTTTTTAGAAAAATCATGATAAAAAGGTTTTTAGGATGATATAGGTTGAATTGATACAAGGTCACATCTTCATTTTAATTAGCAACATTTTGCAGGCCTCGTGTCTACTCAAATTAAAAGTTCTAGAGGCAAGTCTCCTACAAAATACTATTGCTACACCAGATGAGCAATGAAACATCCCTACCCATATCCACCCAGCCCTGAGTTTTTATTCATCAAGGTGGGTCTCCTACAGGAAGATGTTTGCTTTAACTGTGCAACAGCTTTTTATTGAAAAAGCTCCAGCTTCTTGATGTCGCAGGTACAGTTTGAAGTGCAATCCATAAAAATAAAAAATGTTCTTCAATCAGGTACTTGAGCAATGCCAATAAACAGGCTATTGTCAATTCCTTTGACATGGAAAGGTATAAGGGGATGCTCAGATGCTCAGGTAAAAAAGAAAGCAAGAGAAAAATTGAATTATTCTGCCTACCTCAGGATGGTATATTGTGGGAAACAGCTAGAAAGCAAGAATTAAAGTTATCTGGGATAGCCAGAAAGTAGTTAAAGGGCACATAACTTATTAAAAGGAAACTGGAATCTAGATCCAAGAAACTTCTATCATCTCCCACCACCCAAGAGCCATATGAAGATTAATGAAACTCCCCTTTCAAAGAGAAGAGTTCTTACACCTCTGTAAGGAGGACAGGCTTTGTTCACAATCATGTTGAAGGGGAAATACAATTTATTCTTAAGTGATACAGTCTAATTTTTAAGTCTATACTGGAGGGGTATGCAGGTTTGTCAAACAACATTGCTGCCTAGACTTTAATTAAATTAACTATTTTCAGGAGCCAATTTTATTCCAGTTAAGAATAACTCATAGAAGCAGGTATTCAGCCTAATACCTTTATAATCTCCATCTCAGAGGAAAGGATTCACACAATTAGCTTCCATCATAGCAACAGACAAATAACATCCCTCATGCTTTGCACAATGTAAGTTAGCAATAGAAATCTTTCTCCGTTGTAGGCCATTATTTCTTATCAAGACTTGTGCTCACATCTTTCAGTTATTCACTGCTACTTCTGGGTACATTGGTACTTTAACGAGTACTTTAAATGCTAGTATAAATTTTTGATTGAAGTTAGAACTGGGAGGGTCAGTCTTCCCTCACCCTCTTCCAGAATCAGCTGAAGACTCATGGACTAGGTTTTCAGTACTGCCAAACAGCTTTCATTATTGTTGACTCTAGCTGGTTCTCAATATGCTTGCTACCAGTGGCATTTCCTTTTCTAGGAGCTGGTGACTTAATATCAAGATCAAATGAGTCATCTAATTCAAGATATTCCTATAATTACTATTTGTTCCATGCAAGACTGAAGCAGTTTCTTTCCAAATTGTTTTCCCTCCCTCTTCAGAAGGGGAGTTCAGGTAATGATAGGGTACAGCTTAAAACAGAACTCCACGCATTTCTCTACTGTGTGGATGTGCACCTCAGCTGTAAGTGAGCAAATGCATGTGTCAGTCTCTCCAAAATGTCAGATTACAAAGTGGCTTGTGATGTGGTATTTGCTCCTTGCTTGCTGCAAATGGTCAGTTGTTAGCTTTTGACTGCCACCTACCAGTCAGCCTAAAACTAGAGTTCCACACGCTGTCATTAAGCATAGTGGCCAGAACTACGAGGGACTTGGGCAGAACTTTGGTGTTCAAGTCTAGACTTTGAAATCCTCAGTCTATTCAGCTGTTATCTAACCCAGCAGGTACTTCAGTTCTGGGCATTTTTGCATTCTCTGGGCATCTAAACTCTTGTGTACCCTCAAGATTCTCAGTCTGCACAGGATGGAGTGGCATAGGCTTATCAAGCTCACAGTTAAGCTTCAGCAGGCTGAGAAGCACATAGTTTTGAGGCTCTTATCTCCCCTCAGGAGCTTGTTCTGATAGGTGCTCTCTGAGTACACCTTACAGATTGGACTCAGGACAAAATGCAGTAGTGGCTGCCTTTTAAGAGACAACTACCCAGGGAAAACGGTTTCTTCCTCTCCTCTCTGCCTTTAATACAGTAGCTCAGGTTTTGAAATGCTCACCCAGACCAAGAGATCTGGGTTTAATTCCCTGCCTCAAGGATTCAAAGCCATCTCTCCCCAAGAAGCTAGAGGCTACTAGAGTGGGACACAATTCCTCCTCTGAAGTTGCTTTAGTGCACAAAACAATTCACAAGTCTTTGGCCAGAAGAGCATAAAACTCTACCTTATGTATTAGGACTAGTTATTATTCTAGTCCCTGATCCAAGGACTGTTTACTATTTAAGGCTTCAGGGGCATTTTGAAGTGCTGCAGATATGTCCACAATCCCAGGCATTAAGTACCATAAAACACTTAATATTGAGTTATCTGCTACAGTACTGTCAGTAGCTTCTATCATCATAAGGCTTTTCCCTGTCAATTTTAAGAACCCTCGTCTTCCCAGAGGGGAAGAAACCAATTAATGCAAAAAACCTCACAACCCTAAAGTATGAACAAGACACACAGCCAGGGCACATAAGCAATTTTAATGCTTACCAATACAGGGAAGTGCTACTTAAGGCCAAATGCTAAACATGAATCTGAATATTAACTAGGGATCATGTAATGCCTCCTCAAATGTATGAGTTACCTAATTTCTACAGTCCTGAAATGAAGTTTCTTCAGTAATTTAGAAATTCAAGTCTACCCCAATCAGCAGCTTACTATAATGCTTCATTCTGGCTCCACTGAGGAAACAAGTCCATAGGAGTAAATTAATACCTAGGATTCTCCCTAAAATGAGAGGCCAGCAAGATCAAAGCTCCGTTTTTTAGACTGTTAGAACTACCATCAGTTAACCATTTCCATCCATCGTCCTTGTCCCCATTTATATGGAGACTTTATAAATTAAATTACATTCTGCCTGTTTAGGAAGATAGCACTTGGGATCAAAAGTAGTGCATCAGGCTGAGGTTTCGCTTGGTACTACAAAGCTTCACTAAGTGATAAGGTAACATGATGACAAGAGCCAGTAAGCAAATTTGCCCTTGGACTCATTTGGACACCGGGCTGAGTCCTTGGATTTCTAAACATGATGTCTGCAAAAGACTCTGCTTCTCGTAGACCAGGGGTAGGCAAAATACGGCCCAAAGGTAGGCAGCTCATCAGTTGGATCAGCAAAATCGTTTGGATCTGACTCACCAACTGACTGTATTTAGTCCATGGGTGGGCAGCCAAGATCTCATGAGATGGAGCCCGCAGGCTGCTGGTGGCTACAGCCACTGCACAATGCTGGGCAGACAGAGCTGTTTCTGCCATGCTGGGCAGGTGGAACCGTTTCCGCCCAGCACTGATGTGGCAGCATCAGCCATGGAACTTAAGTGGACATCTCGATCCCCACCCACAACCTACTGGCTGATACTGGTACCCAGAAGGGCTACTTCTATTGTGCCAGGCAGGTGTTGCTACAAGCTGCAGACATGGCCAACAGGTTCTGGGTGGGGTGGGGATCAGGGCAGGGTGGGGACTCCCCGATCCCCACCCAAAACCTGTATATTTAAGTATAAATCATGCCAGGTGGGAGGTGGCGTAAACTGCGGATGTGGCCAGTAAGTTCCAGGTGGGATGGGGATTGAGGCGTGCTGCAGCTCTGGGTGGGGTGCCCCAAAATGTATTAAGTGGCCCTCCACTCAAAATAATTGCCCACCCCTGTCATAGACAAAGTCTTAAATATACTTGTCTAGATCCTCAGCCACTAGTTTGAGAGCCCAGACAAGGTGTGTGTGTTGGGGGGGGGGGGGGAAAGGGAAAGGGGTTTGGG